TACATGCGTCATTAAAATTTCGGTAATTAATTCCAACTCCGTACGTAACTGATCGTGGTGGTTATGCTAGGTTCGTGCAGCTCACTCAATGGATCGGAGGCAAATTTTTAATAGTCGGAAATTGAAAAATTTACTATAAAAGCTCAAGCATTACTTTTTACATTTTCTTACATAATAAACAATAGCCAATCTAAAAAAAAAATATAGTCACTATTTTTAATGCTTGTTTTTCGTTTTTTCGTTTGCTTAAATTTAAAAATTTACAGCGAAGAAGACTCAAAACTTAAAAATTTTGGGTAGATGTTTTTCTATATTTAACGGATAATTAAGGTCATAACTTTTTTCGAAAATATTTTCGTATTACCTATGCTACTTTCAGTGCGAATACAATTATAAAATTACTATAGATTGTGTATAAAAAATATATATACTGTATATTTTAAAAAATTTACTCCTTGTTTCCTCAAATCAATTTTCGCTAACGATTCTATAAGTCACCAAAAATTTAATTGATAAATAATTAAAAGGCGAAGCCAGTGAAACTGAAATTGAAGCTTCGGCAGCTGGTATAAAAAATTTTTATTAGGTTTTTAGAGACATAGCGAATATTTTGAAAAATTGAAAGAGTACGCTCAAGTATTTAATTACATAAATGTCGTCATTTCTTGAGCATTATCATGATCATTATTTAATTAATTGATTGAGAACACCCTTAGTATATCTAAATCCTCTATTTCTTAATTAGTTTGAGTTATATCAATATGTATCCCCCGGTATAAATTAAAAACTAACAATTATAATTTGCAGAACCATCCAAGTAGAACTGAAAGCATTGGTGTTTCCTAAAGGAATGACTTTTTTAAAAACAATTTACATACGTTTAAAAAATTGGGTATACAAAACAGTTTTAAAAGCAAACCGAATTTACTTATAAAATATAATTTTTTGTATCTCTTGCCGTTTACATACTACGTAGTCATACTCAATACTAGGTTAGTCATACTATATAGATTAGTCATAATAGATTAGTCATACGGTACTAAAGCTTACAGAATTCTAATAATTTGAATCAGCAAATATCTGTTCGAATATTCACCGAATGACTAATATTATTCGAATAATTAATAGTTATTCGAATAAATTTGCTTATTTGTTTATTCGAATTATTACAGATAACTATTTATTCGAATATTCGTCGAATACGAATATTATTCGAATAACGAAGTTCTATACGGTACTAAGTTTTAGCATACGTATATACTAAGTTATTACCTATTATACTGTTATATATATATATATTTTTTACTACTTTAACCTTTTTTTATTCGATTGATTTTTTTTACGTAAAAAAACTTTACGTAGTGCAGTAGTGCGCACGTACTGTCTGCTATTAGAATCGCTCCTAATAAAATATTCAATGCAACCGTTTTAATAAAAAGCTCGGGAATTTTAGCTAAATACAGTATCTTAGATACCCTTAAATAATAAATAACATTAGTCATATGGTACTGTATGTGACTCATCAAGGTCTCATGACAATTTTGAAATATTTATTTCATGTTTCGGTATGTGAAAAAGACGTGACTATTAACTCTTTCTCTCTGCTTTCCGCGTTCGCAAGAAGCGAATGCCAAAATGTGGAAGCAAATAAAGACTTTTGTTGAACCTCTTGAACGGTTCATAACAACTTCTGGGGTCAAAAAAACTGCAAATCTACCTCATACTAGTTGCACTCCACAACTTTCAAAGTCTATCAAACATGTGTCTGAACCTCAAAAACAGTTTACAAGCTCAGCTTTTGTAAACCGCGTAGAGAAATCAAAACTTTTGCGTTTTCTTCAAGATACTTTTCCCCTACTTAAATCGCTTACGCCACTTGAGATTCCCGCTCCTGTAACTAGTACTCAGATTTCACTTCATTTTTATAAATCACAAAGGTCATGTTTCCTTCATAGCTATGGGCTTCTGCAACCTGCTGGTGCAAGAAATGTATTTAACGGTGGTATTAGGAATTTTTCTACTGTACAAACTACCATGATAAATAATTGCGCTGGTAATGGTAGTGCCATCCTTGCACAACTAGGTTTCAAACCTTTCTCTGCGTTTGCTACTAAGACCGGATCCTTATTGACTCAGCAGCTTCAAATGAATAATGCTTTGGAGTGTGATCACGTCAAAAAAAATAGGCCCATAGATCTTAAAATAATGGATCAAAAAAAGTTTTTTACCGAAAGCAAAGGTATTATTGAGGCTATGCAAAAAAAGAATATAATCAATGAGAATATGCAAAATATGACTAGAATAGTTTGTCGCTCCAATATTACTAATTCACCTAAAAAAAGTGAAGCTGCTACTGAGATCAGTTACGTACGGAGTTGGAATTAATTACCGAAATTTTAATGACGCATGTATCAGTCATAGCGATAGTTAATAATGAGTTAATAATGACGTGTTGTTTAAAAATTTTCTTACCAAATGTTTCATTAATGGAATCCGACTATTCAACCCAATCAAATTTAAAAAAATGTTCGCTTGCCGAATAATAAAAATAAATTAATGAATTTGAAACCAATAAAGAAACATGTATCAAATGCTTAACCCGTATAAATAAAGGCAAAATCGGAAACGTTAAGAGCAGAATATGAATAATATTTATGAATTACAAGAAAGTGCTATAGAACCTGAAGATATCGAGTGTACAAATGGATCTTAATGCAATTATAAAGCTTTCAAATCGAATTGATAAAATTAGAAAATATTGATTCACATGAAACTTAATAGCGATTGCGATTGAGATTGTGAGGCATTACTGCATTATCGTTATAGAAAGGTGACGGATATTTTTATCATAATAATAAGAAGCATTATGTTATTCACTTATTGGCAGTGTTGGCACATGACCAGGTCATAACAGGTCATGTTACTAAGTTCAATTAGAGAGGTCATATGACCTTAGTCATATGATTTCACTAGTAATATGTACAGATATAGGGCTCATCACTTTCTGCGGCAACAGACCCCAAATTCTGCATGCGCTACCTATCCATTTATGCGAAATTATGCGATAAATTTTTTAAATTATGCAGAAATATGCGATCACGTCACAAATATACAACAAATTTATTTTATTGTTATTTCACTTAATACCATATAATTTAAAATAAAAAAACAAAATCATATAATTTTCTTTTTTTTTTAAACAAAAAAAAATTTATCGAATTCTAGTTTAAAAAAAAAATTTATTTAATTTAAAATAAAAAAAAAAGAAAAAAATTATATATAAATTTTTTTTTTAAGTTTATATTCGACTATATTTCCAGTAGGTTCTTATTTTTGCCTGTCAATTCTTGAACTATTCTTCTATATGGCCATTAAAATACATAAAATTTAATGCTGCAATAGATGTTTCAGAAAGTGAATGTCGATTATCATCGATATTTTTATATACAGAAAAGCTTTATTCGACATCCACATCTGATACCGGTAGCCAAATATAATCTAGGGCTAATTTTGATAAGTTGGGTAAGCTTCGAATTTTTTCCCTCCAGTAAACATCTAAATTAAAATTTTTAGTATTAGAAAAGTCTTCATTTAATCTACAGTAAATGCCCCACTCTTGAAGAATTTGATTGCTTGGTGATTTAAATTCTTGAATTTCTGAATACAAATGAATATTTTGACGATGTTGTTGGAGATGTATAAATCATGAATTGAAATATTGAATGGCTTTAAATAATGACAATGCAGGGTGTTGATCTATATGTTTTTTAAGCTTATTAAATGCTAATTGATATGCCTCACGAAACATGGTAATATAAGCATCCATTTCAAAATGATTATCTTCAAATTTGTGTTTAATTTTTTCACTAATAGGAGGTTTAATAATTCCCGATTGTAACAAGGCTTCAAGATGTGTTAAACATTGTGTTACAAATAGAGCAACAAGTTTTTTCCTAATTTTGAAGAATTCAAGATCTTCTACAAGACTAAAACCAAATAAGATTAAATTAATTTACCTAAAAAAAAAAACAATAATGATAATACTTACCATACTGCATTAAATGATATAAACATAGCTAGAACTTCAAAAATAAAAATATTTGTATTACTTTTAAAAATATCTACCAATTCTTGAATTGCTTGACTTTCATTGTTAATTCATTCTTCCTCAAGGTAAAACAAACATAATTGGTTAATATTTTTATTAATCCAAAAAATAAACCAAAACCATGAGTTCCATCTTGTTTTAACAGGTAATAGCAGTAAAGTAATTTGGTTATTAGTACTATTATTATCGTCTAATAATAAATTAGAATTAAAATTGGATTCTAAAAACCCAATACAACGTCTTTTATGTGCTGGACATTAAACAAATGTTGCCTTAATATTTTTAGCAATATTAGCTAAAAATTGAAAATTTTTATAATAAACCCAGGTTTCACCAACTAAATTTAAAATATGGGCCAAGCAATGGTTATGTTTTAATTGTGAAACTAAGGAAGATATAATTTGAAAAGCCTTTAGCATGTATGCTGCATTATCAGAAATAAAAAAAATAAGATTATCGAATAGAATACTATAAAATTGTAAAGTTTTAAAAACTAATTGCATAATAGAAGTACTATCTACGGTGGTAATAAATTCTGTTTTAGCAAGTTTGGTTTGGTTATTAAAACTAAATAATATATGGATGACGGCTCTACTACATGCATCTGTAGTTTCATCTACGGTAATAGAAATTCGCTAGTCTTTTACAAGATTTTGTAATCTTGAAACTTCAATATCAAATACTTTTGGCAAATATTTAATACGAAGTTGATTTGAACATACAATGGTGCTACCTAAATAAATTAATATTTTATTAATTTTTAAATAAAATATAGTATATTAAATGAAATAATTTACCATTTTTACAGTATTCTAAAAAAAAGCTTTTAAGCTTATCGATTTTGTATAGAGGAATGTTGGCTTTAGTAAATACATTTACTAAAGCAATATTAATAAGTTCCCGTTCATTTACATTAATATTGGCTATATCAAGAGTTGTTTGGCGAGTTGATTTCAATTTTTCAGTTTTATTAATATTATTTCTATGTTTTTTTGATTTTAAATGAGAGTCTACTATAGATTTTCTTGTATGATCTACAACGTGTTGACAAAATTCACAAAATAATTTTTGACCATCAAAATAAAAATTTTTTTTATATTCTAAATTTTCGACTCTACATTCAGCAGCAGAAACCATTGTTAGAATTTACAGAACAAAGAAAAAAAGGAGTATAATATTGTAATCAAATTTGACAATTGATGATATAGGTTTGAA